GGCGCCCGGCGCATGGCGGCCGCCCTCCCGCCTCCCGCCGCCGGCTGCGGGACCGGGTACCTTCATGTGTTTCCGTAGGGAGCTGGGGTGGGTGTAGGACTTGTCGCACATCTTGCACAGGTAGGGCTTATCCGAGGTGTGGACGTGCATGTGCTTCTTGCGGTCGCTGCTGTTGGCGAAGCGCCGGTCGCAGCCTTCGAACTCGCACTGGAAGGGCTTCTCTCCTGCAAGAGAGCGGCGCAGCAGCGGGGTGAGCGCGGCCGTCCCCGCGCAAACCCCGCGCAGCCCCGAACCTCTTTTCCCCACCCTCGCCCTCCTCTCCCAGTCGCTTCGTCCAGCAGCTTCCTGATGCAAGGGGCCGGTTGTGTCCCGGTACCCGCAGCGCCGGAGGGCCGCATCGCTCCCACGTTGCCCTGAAGCGAAGCAAAYCCCGTTCCCCACCTGGTTTTCCTACCAAAACCCCGGGGGTATCCCCGTCCCGGAATCTTGCCTGATTTTATTTAGAAAGGTGCCGAAACACTTAGCCAGCCCCGAAAGAGATTGAAGAAGAAAGACGATTAAAAAAAAAAAAAAAAAAAAAAAAAAAAAAAAAAAAAAAAAAAAAAAAAAAAAAAAAAAAAAAAAAAAAGCAGGCATTATCGAGCCGTTTCGCCTCGGTACCAAATCCACTATCCTGTTAAACTGGAAACTATTAACCGACAGATTTAAGGCCGGGCATATTGTTTCGTGTATGGATATTCGAGATAAACGCACATCCGCTGGGAAAACTAAACATCTGTAAAATACTTCATTTAATTTTCATAGGGATTCCTCTCRCCCGGCTGCCAGGACTCCAAATGCCGGGGAGTAATTTGGAGGTGAGAACTTTACATTCCCCCGCCTTTGGAGGGGGAAGCATTTAACATTAAATTCCATTAGCACCTAAATTGTTTCTTAAAGACATCCGCTCAAACACAATGACTTCAGTGCGGGCATCTCATGCAAATACATTTCTCAAATTTTAAACCTTGTTAAAGCTCGTCTCGCACCTCACATCGGGCTTAGCACTTGAGAAAACAATAGGCCTCGAGATTTTTAGCCTTTCTCCTGGTAAATATTTGGAATGGTAGTCGCTAAAATATTTGGCCGTCTTTTATGAAATAGTCTGGCACGATTTGAGCCGGCAGGAGTAGTAAATGAATAATAGATGAGGCGGGAGGATGCGTTTATTTTTCCTACCCTTGGCTCAGGCGATTTTCCATCGGGCAAGCCTGGGGTCCCTCGACCCTCTTCCACCTGAGTTGGGTGGAAGTTTCCGGACCTCAAATCCTCTGTTCCCTACTACATAATTTAATAAACTGTTGCAAAAACACCTTAAATCACATCGAGTGAGACTTTAAAAACAATTTTTTTTAATGAGAAAATTTTATTGCCTTGCTCACACCATTTAAATGTAATGGAAAGCATTCCCGGAAAGGGAATTTTTTCCACTTCTAACGGGATTTAGGACTAATGACGGATTTTGCGCGTATTGATATAGTTTCTCTCTCTCTGTAGCCATACATTAAAGCCATGCTCACAAGCGCTGAAGTTGTATGCAAATACGTTGCATATTGCAAATGACTAAGGCAATTCATGGGGATGGATGGATGGATGGATGGATGGATGGATGGATGGATGGATGGATGGATGGATGGATGGATGGATGGATGGATGTCTTCCCATATTTTAGCAAGACGGCAAAATTTAGTTCATGCTGTATTTCGTGATTCTGCAGAAAGACTTCGCTGACCCTCAGCACGAATCTACAACTCTCACCCCCAAATTAAAACAAATCAGTAAAATATCCCTTTGAAATCTGGGATGAAGGGGGATGTATGCTACTGGGGAAGAAACCAAAACAAACGCAGCTGTGTGATTGAGAGGGCTAAAAAAAAACCAAACCAAACAAAAACAAACCGGAAGCTTATTTTATCACTCTCCTAATTTAACATCACTCTGAGKATCTATCAGTTTATCTATCTATATATATACATATATATGTATATATGTATATATATGTATATCTATATATAGGCACGGGCTGAGGGGGGAAATCTGCCGAAAGAAACCCGAATTACCTGTGTGCGTCCTTTTGTGAATTTTGAGATTTTCTGATCTGGCGAAAACTTTTCCGCAGCCAGGGAAGGGGCAGGGGAAGGGTTTCTCTCCCGTGTGCACTCGGATATGATTGACCAGTTTGTATTTCGCTTTGAAGGGCTTGCCCTCGCGGGGACACTCCTCCCAGTAGCAGACATGGTTGCTCTGCTCGGGTCCCCCAACGTGCTCCACCGAGACATGGGTCACCAACTCGTGCATGGTGCTGAAAGTTTTATTGCAACTTTTTTTGGGGTTGTTCAGCTGTTCGGGATCGATCCACTTGCAGATGAGCTCTTGCTTGATGCACTGCTGCCGCATGTAGCGGAAAAAGGCACCTGGGTGGTGGTGGTGGTGGGCTGCCATGTTCATGCCCATATTCATATTCATGGGGCCGTACTGGTTGTGCAGYTGAGCCGCCGAGTAAGGGTCAGTCCTGGGGCTGGAAACTTGGCGGTACTGATCCGACCGGGCGAAGACCTCCCCCGGCAAGCCCAGTCGCATCTGCCCGTTGAGGACATTTTGGGAGGCGTGGGGGCCGTGCTGGTCGTGGATGCCCGGGAAGAGAAGGTGGCTCTGAGCGTCCGTGTGCGGGTGGTGCAGGCTGCCGGCCGCAGGGCCGAAGATGCCGTGCTGTCCGCCGGCCGGCGACGAGTCCCCGAAGCCCCGGCTGCGAAACAAGAAGTCCCGGGTGGAGTTGAAGGGCGCCCCGGAGTAGGAGCCGACATGAGCGGCGTGAGGGCCCAGGGCGGCGGCGGGGTAACCGGGCGCCTGTGAGGTGAACGCCGAGCTCTGTCCCGGGGAGAGGTCGTGRGCGCCGGCGTTGAGCTTGAAGGCGCCCATGTGCGCCGCCGCCGAGTCCACGAAGCTGTTCTGCGCCGCCAGGCTCAGCTCCCGGTCCTGCATCTCCGCCGCGGCCGAGTGGTGGTGCCGGGCGAAGGTGCCCACTCCGAGGGCCGGGAACTGCGGGCCGGCGTCCAGCAGCATGGTCCGCGCCGCTCCGGGGACGCAGCCGCTGCCGCCTCCCGGCTACCGCCTCCGCCTCCGGGCTGCCGCCGCGAGCCCGCCCGGGCGCGGGGACGCCGCCGCTCCGCTCCGCTTCCCCCCGGCAGCCGCCGCGTCC